ACACACGCACATACACATACACACACACACACACACACTGATACCTTATATGACCAAAGTCATCAGTGTTTCATTTCTCCTCACCTTTTTGACCACTTTCTCATCATTTATTTCTTTATATCTTTATTTCTTTCTTTCTTTATTTATTTATATTTTTATTTATTTTTTATTTATTTTTATTCCTAATCCCCCACACACCTCATCTTTGCTTTCTGTATCCTGATGATTCTGCTTCTCTCCAAAATGTAGGTCTTAAGTCAAAAGGTCATTTTAAGTATTATGACTCAAAATTTGTCCCACCCAGTCTGTAATACAATGAGACACACACGCACAACACGCACACACACACACACACACACACACACACACACACACACACACACACACACACACACACACACACACACTGCTGGTCTTCTGCAGCCATGACTTAAACACCCAGAGAGATGTTACCGTCACAGATTTACAGCCACTTTCCACAAATGTGTGTAAAGTGTGTTTTCTAAAGGAAGTGTGTGTGTGTGAGGGTTGTGGTGTTGGCAGTGTGTGTGCGTGTGTTATTTTTAGAGGAGAATAAGCTCAAGTGGAGCCAGCAGCATAAAAATACACACGCACATACACATACACACACACACACACACACACACACNACACACGCACATACACATACACACACACACACACACACACACACACTGTTACAACTAAACCATGAAATGACAAACTGCATGTCAGCAGTATTTCTTTGTTGTTTGATTTCTTTATTTAAATGACAACATGTTGGTGAATATTTGATGCAGTCTTTATTGGGTTGGTTAGAGTTAGGGTTAGCAGGCTTTGAAGCTAAATCTTTTCTTTATTAATGAAATAGATCTACAGACTGTTTTGTAGTTGGGTATCTGGAAATGTTTTGGACTATAAATATTTTCTTGTGATAGACAGCTTTTTAAAGGCCTCACATTTTATTCTTAGTATGAACTTGTGCAGAGTTTGCAGCAGAACAAGATAAAACAGTTTGGAGAAGCTGTTTACATTCTTCTCACTACTAGTTTATCTCCTCACTCTCGGTCTACAGTCACAACAGAACAGAAGGCCTTGGACTGTGCTGTTTGACTTGATGCTGTTCAAACTATTTTGTAGAATTAAAACATTAAAGCTATAACTTATCTGCTGCATACATGTCAACCCCTTTGGATGTTTACCTGTATAATGAGCCTCAAAAATCCGTAATTTTTGAAAAAAATCCGTAGGCTACTGCTCGCACCCGCACAGAGGTGGTGTGTGTTTGCGTGTGTGTGTGTGTGTGTGTGTGTGTGTTTTGTTGGCTACGAAGAATTGGAGAACTTTCTAGTCTTATTTCTAGCAGCAGAACACAGAAGATGGTTATTTGATGTTATTTATTGTTTTTGAACATTTTACAGACATGTTAAATAAATTTGAAACTGAGGATTTGAAAACATCCGTAAAACTTGAAAAAAATCTGTGTGATTGCTCTACACATCTGTATGCCTGCAAAACGATGGAAAATCCATGTAAATTACAGACAATCCGTACAGCCTGACAAGCATGCTACAAGCATGTTGTCTTTTCTGTTTTGTTCAAAATGTTCCCACACTTTTGACAATCTCAGTCACTTTCTGGATGCTTCATTTTGGGACTCTTCGTCTCCCTGCATAGCTAAATATACAAGTAGCACTTAGCATACACGCGTCAACAGTGTAATCGTTAGCAGAAGCGTGAGCGTTGTGCAAATAACATTCTGGCAAGACAATATATATAAATGAAAAAATGCAATTCATAAATGAAAGGAGAAGAAAAAAGCTTGCATATTGAAAAATATTGCATGTGCATTTACTCCAATATATGTTGAGGACAAAGAAGCAAATACAAGATTTAGACTTAACTGTAAGGAGCGAAGCCATACAAATACCAGAGCTGGGACCATTCACAGACTTTATTCAGCAGAATGGCCACAACCCAGGAAATTCGGTCACCTATAACACTTTCTTCCAGATCTGGGGTCAGATTCATAAAGGATTGCGTGGAAACCATTCTAAAAGTGAACGTACGGCCAAAAGGCGAAAATGGCGTACGTCAAAAAAAATTCAGATTTATAAAACCGTGCGTACGCATGGTTCCGCACACCTTTCATTTATAAATCACAGCTGCACGTCAGAGTTTGCACACAAGGTCCAGCCTCAGGTTCTACCCTCTACACGCCCACACTCAACCATGAACAGTCAATGTAAAGTACCTCATGAATGTTAAGATATATTTAAATCAGTCAGCTGATCAATGTCAACAAAAGTGATTGGCTGACTCAGACTCACGCTCCGTCATGCGTCTGGAGGTTGACTTAACTTAACTTAATTTTCTGTTAGAGCATGTAGGACGATAAAAAACAATAAAAATAAAATTAAACAAGTCAGATAAAGTTAGAAATAATTTCACCACTCGTCCCGTCCTCCCCCTCCTCTGTTATCTGCGGCAGACCCCCCCTTCCAC